ACAATAGAGTGATGTACAGTTTTGAAATTCTCAAGTGAAGGGGTCTCTTTGTTATCTGATTTTGTTATTGCACTGTGAAAATTTTGTGATATTCTTTCTACTTTATGAAGCCTATTGAAGGATTTTGTGACATAATATATGGCTTATTTTTATGAATTTTTATGTGTGCTTGAAAAATGCACATTCTCTAACATTTGAGCGAAAAATTCAAAGTAAGTCCACATGACCTAACTTAATGATATTTTATGGACATTCCAAATCTTTAACAATTTGCTTGTCCATGTGAGTTGTCTTGGGCTGCAATTGGTGTGTTAAATTTATCTATTATTGGGGTGCCTGGGTGGCGCAGTCGGTTAAGCGTCCGACTTCAGCCAGGTCACGATCTCGCGGTCCGTGGGTTTGAGCCCCGCGTCAGGCTCTGGGCTGACGGCTCAGAGCCTGGAGCCTGTTTCCGATTCTGTGTCTCCCTCTCTCTCTGCCCCTCCCCCGTTCATGATCTGTCTCTCTCTGTCCCAAAAATAAATAAAAACGTTGGAAAAAAAAAATTTAAAAAAAAATTTTCTATTATTATTGTGTTTCTATTTTTTCTTGTATACTGTGTCTACTATGAGATTTGAAACACCTGTTTTTCTGTTTTGTTTGTACACATTTGCTATACCTTTATGTGTTTGACTCTTTATGAATCACTTTATTACATGTATGTAGCACAAGCAAAACAATTTTTATTTTTTTGTTTATTAATTTTTGAAAGAAAGAGACACAGTATGAGCAGGAGAGGGGCAAAGAGAGAAGAAGACACAGAATCCGAAGCAGGCTCCAGGCTCTGAGCTGTCAGCACAGAGCCCAACATGAGGCTCCAACTCGTGAACCACGAGATCGTGACATGAGCCAAAGTCAGAAGCTTAACCGACTGAGCCACCCAGGTGCCCCAAGCAAAATAATTTTTGAGAATCAACTGGAAAATTCCTTTCTTTTAAAAGGTGACATAAGCTCATTTACATTTATTGACAAGACTAATAGAGGTGATCTCAACTCTGTAATTTTATTTTTCTGGTGGTATTATCCTATATTTACCATGTTTCTCTGCATGGTCTGTTTCCTTGTATTATTTTAAAAATTATTTTGAGGGGCGCCTGGGTGGTGCAGTCGGTTAAGCGTCCGACTTCAGCCAGGTCACGATCTCGCGGTCCGTGAGTTCGAGCCCCGCGTCAGGCTCTGGGCTGATGGCTCAGAGCCTGGAGCCTGTTTCCGATTCTGTGTCTTCCTCTCTCTCTGCCCCTCCCCTGTTCATGCTCTGTCTCTCTCTGTCCCAAAAATAAATAAACGTTGAAAAAAAATTTTTTTAAATTATTTTGATATATATGGAATTTGTATTTTTTGGTTCCATTGGTTTTCATTCTACTATTTCCTTTGATATTGCTGTTAGTCCCCATTTACTTTACATAGGCTTCTAGGATTTATTTTATCAGGTTTGAATGATATCTATTGACTAACGTTTATTACATATATGTAGTCAGTGTTCATATCCTACATACTATTTCTTTCTTCCTCAATTTTTTTAAATACAATGTATTCTCAAATTGGTTTCTATACAACACCCAGTGCTCATCCCAACAGGTACCCTCATCAACGCCCATCAGCCACGTTCCCCTCTCCCCCAGCCCCCATCAACCCTCAGTTTGATCTCGGTACCTAAAAGTCTCTTATGGTTTGCCTCCCTCCCTCTCTGTAACTTTTTTTTCCCATTTCCCTCCCTCATGGTCTTCTGTTAAGTTTCTCAAGATCCACATATGAGTGAAAGCATATGATATCTGTTTTTCTCTGACTTATTTCACTTAGCAGAATACCCTCCACTTCCATCCACGTTGCTGCAAATGGCCAGATTTCATTCTTCCTCATTGTCAAGTAGTATTCCATTGTGTATATAAACCACATCTTCTTTATGCATTCATCAGTTGATGGACATTTGGGCTCTTTCCATAATTTGGCTATTGTTGAAAGCTCTGCTATAAACATTGGGGTACAAGTGCCCCTATGCATCAGTACTCCTGTATCCCTTGGGTAAATTCCTAGCAGTGCTACTGCTGGGTCATAGGGTAGGTCTATTTTTAATTTTTTGAGGAACCTCCACACTGTTTTCCAGAGCGGCTGCATCTTGCTTCTTTACTCATTTATTATTTTTGTCTATTTGTTGTTGTTGTTGTTCGTTGTTTAATCTTTTGTTTAACTTCCAGTTAGTTAACATACAGTGTAATATTAGTTTCATGTGTACAATTTAGTCATTCAAAACTTATATACAACACCTGGTGCTCATCACAAGTGCACTCCTTAATCCCTATCACCTATTCACCCATTCCCCCCACCTACCTCCCTTCTGGTAACCATCAGTTTGTTCTCTATAATTGGTATTTTGCTAAAAAATGGGGTGGGCAGGGGTGCCTGAGTGGCTCAGTCGGTTAAGCGTCTGACTCTTAATTTCGGCTCAGGTCATGATCTCATGGTTTGTGAGTCTGAGCCCTGCTTCGGGCTCTCCACCAACAATGAAGAATCTGCTTGGGATTCTCTCCCTCCCTGTCTCTCCTGCCCCTCCCTGTTCTCTCTCTCTCTCTCTCTCTCCTCAAAATAAATAAATAAAATACACTTGAAAAAAACGAGGTGGGCAAATTTGGACTTGCAAAGGGAGATAAGAGTCTAGATCATAAACTACTGCCCAGATGCCCCGACCAGAATGTTCAAACTTAAAAGGACTAGCAATACCGAACTTGGTGAGAATACAGAGTGATGAGAAATCTCATACATTGATGATGGGAGTGTAAATTTGTACAACAACTTTGAAAGCTGTTTGGTAGTTTCTCGTAAAGCTAAAAACATCCTATACCTTTTACATGAACAGTTCTCTACAACTGACTATATCCCCAAGAGAAATGAGTGTTTATGTTCACCAAAACACATGCTTAAGAATGTTCAATGCAGGGTTATTTGTAAGACGTAAACATAAATAGGAGAAAACTCAGATGTCAATCGAGTAGAACTGAGAACTAAATTGATATGTATACATAAACTCACTACTCAATAACAATGAAAATGCTCAAAACCTCGGCCAACAGCACCTACACAGATGTCACGGTCGAATTATCAAACAAGAGAAGGTAGTTGCAAAATAGTACATGCTGCATAATTCCACTTATGAGAACTTCAAAAGCCGGCAAGATAGTCAACAATAACAATAACAGAAGTCAAAATAATGGTCACCTTTGCAGGATAATAGTTGGGAAAGGACATGACAGAGCTCTCTAGGAAGTTGGAAATGTTCTACACGTGCACACACATGTAAGATTTCTTTGAGCCGTACATTTAAGATTTATGCACATTACTCTATGCAGTTACTTTTCTTAAGACTGTATTTTTCAGGGGCACCTGAGTGGCTCAGTCGGTTAAGCATCCGATAACAGCTCAGGTCATGATCTCGTGGTGCCTGAGTTCTAGCCCTTCATCAGGCTCTGTGCTGACAGCTCAGAGCTCAAAGGGTAGCATCAGACGGTTATGCTCATGCTGTCTCTCCGTCTCAAAAATAAACAAGTGTGAAAAAAAAGATTGTATTTTTAAGTAACCTCTCCACCCTACGTTGGGCTTGAGCTCACAACCCCAAGATCAAGAGTCGCACGCTCCACCGACTGAGCCAGGCAGGTGCCCCACTATGTTTTAATACACACACAGACACACACACACACACACACACACACACACCTTCCCTAGCAGGAAATCACAATAGGGAGTGGAAGTACATGGAAGCAGTTCCTGACGGGAAAGAAAGGCAGAAGAGCTGGGAAGGCATCTGGGAGGGCAGAGCAGACCACTAGTAGTCGGTTTTGTCCACTCTTGTCCAACTAGTCTCCACTTGTGCCGAACCTCACTCCAGGAAATACACATAATCCCAGGTATTATCTGGCTTTGTCCACTGTGACTGTCAAAGTAATGATAGGAAGCATGTCGTTTTGTTTCCCTCAGTCACTCGAGGCTGTCACGGGAGCGTGGATTAACCGTCTGATGCTACCCTTTGAGCTGTCACTACCGACAACACCTGTTAGGGAGCCCCCACATTCCACCTTTAACCAGATAAGGCTCTAAGCTGACTGACCACCAGGGCGAATTGATACGGTTTTTGTGGTCATGCTGTGTCCCCTCTCTTTATCACTGTCACCTTTACACGCACCAGGAAGCACTGTGCATTACCGTGTGCTCTTCAAGCTTGTTGAAATTCACTACCACTCCTCTGCTGGCCTTCTTACTTACGTATCTCAGGATTTGGGGTTTGCTAGATGAGCCGAGGAGAAGGAGGTCACATAATCAATAAAATAAGCATATTCTGCTTCTTAGTTTAGGGGAAGGTAGGTGAAAGAGCCCCAAAACATTAATGGTTGAGGTTTGGCTGGTGATACAAGTTTGTATTCATCCCTTGAAGCTCTGCCACACTGGGAGCTCAAATAAATACGCACTGTCTTAAGTCCTGTGCCGAACTTCTCAGAAAGAAGACTGGAATGTTTCTGGATGCCTGGGTAACTCAGTCCGTTGGCCGTCTGACTTTGGCTCGGGCCATGATCTTGTGGTCTGTGGGTTCAAGCCCCGCATCGGGCTCTGTGCTGACAGCTCAGAGCCTGGAGTCTGCTTTGGATACAGTGTCTCCCTCTCTCTGCCCCTCCCCCGCTCATATTCTGTCTATCTCTATCTCTCTCTCAAAAGTAAATAAATGTTAAAAAAAATTTTTTAAAGGAAGCCTGGAAGGTTTCTTCCCTCTTCTGGGTTTGTGCCTCCTTTTACGATACTCCATTATCTTTCCTTTCCATCACTCAGCTCACCACCAACACAGCTGCCCAACCTGTCCTGATATTCACCACTACCCTTTGCCATCATGCATCTATTAATTTGACAAATATTTGTTGATATTCTGGGATATGTGAACAGCAGTAGATCTAAGAAGATGTGGAAAGCAAGGTACTTACTGCAAGCTGTGGTCCCCAAAACGGAGGCTCTGAGATGAGGACTGTCATCAGTAACTTTAATAGACTAATTTGAGGATCAGCCCCTGTGAAAGATAAGAAGGAAGCAAGGTCGGGCAACAGGCAATGTTGGTCTGACCCAGGGGTGGGTCTGAAAGTTGTGACCCTCTAATCACGTGGCTAGTTCCTCTGGCAACCAGCTCCCATCCTGAAGCTCTCTAGAGGCCTGCCAAGAGTAACCTCATTAGCATAAACTCAAGTATGGTTAGAAGAGGCTTTAAGGAGTAACAGAAGACATGTGAATCACACCTCGGGAAATTCCCAAGATTGTAGAGCTCTGTGTCAGGAACTGGAAACAAAAACCAAATATACGTTGGGGCGCCTGGCTGGCTCAGTCGGTTAAGTGTCCGACTTCGGCTCAGGTCAGGATCTCACGGTCCGTGAGTTCGAGCCCCGCGTCGGGCTCTGTGCTGACAGCTTGGAACCTGGAGCCTGTTTCAGATTCTGTGTCTCCCTCTCTCTCTGACCCTCCCCCGTTCATGCTCTGTCTCTCCCTATCTCAAAAATAAATAAACGTTAAAAAAAATTAAAAAACAAAAAACAAATATACGTTGATTATGCCACACCTACCTCCCAGCCTTTAAACCTACCTCCTTCAAATTTTACACTCTCAACACACTGGCTTTCTTTCTTTTCCTGTAACAAGCCAAGGTCTTTCCTCACTCAGAGTCTCTTAGTTACTTTCCTGTTTATCTGTTGTTGTGACATTCTGTGACATTTTCAGAGCTGTCTCGATCTCATCATTCAGTGTGAATAATGAGAAGGTGATCAAATGTCACCTTCTTAACAAGGTCCTCCCTAACCATCCACCTCTCTGCTCTGCTAACACCTCCTGGGAACTATGTGCCAAGCACTCTCAAACCACCAAAACAACCTAAATTAATTAATTTAGTCCTTACGACAACTTTGTAAATTAGTTAGTTACTCTGATTTTATAGATGAGGAAACTCTATGAAATGAGTCACAAAGGTCTTTTTTTTTAATGTTTATTTATTTGTGAGAGAGAGAGAGACAGAGACAGTCTGTCTCCTGGAAAATCCACACAATCGTCTCAAAACCATCTATACATTAAAATTATCTAGGGGTGCCTGGGTAGCTCAGTCGATTCAGCGTGTGACTTCAGCTCAGCTCAGGTCATCATCTCACAGTTTGGGAGTTCGAGCCCCGTGTCGGGCTCTTTGTAGACAGCTCAGAGCCTGGAGCCTGCTTCTGTGTCTCCCACTCTCTCTGCCCCTCCCCTGCTAGTGCTCTCTCTCTCTCTCTCAAAAATAAATAAAAACAATTTTAAAAAAAAAGTTAAAAAAAATAAATAAGTAAAATCCTCTAAATGGACACTGACAAAATGCTTGGGTCCATGACACCCACCAGACCAACTAAACCAGGATATCTGAGGGCATGGCCTAGGCATGTAAAATTTTAAAACTTCCAAGATGATTCCAACAGTCAGTCAGGATGGACAACAAGCGTCACCATTTGACCAACTCAAAATAAAGAGAATACAATTATTCAGAACACAGTAAGAGGGATGGGGGACTGAGGTCCTGCTATAGAAGCCTCTCACTGTAAATTTGCATGCTGTGCATGAGAGGCTGTCATGTTGATATGGTGACCACGTGACTTCCCATCTCAGCCTCATCAAAGCCAGAACGCAGAGCCTGGCTTTTCCAAGACCAGTTTCTAACTGGAAGAAAAGGCTGTTCTTCAGCAGATGATCTTTCCATTCTCCTCTCTCCTGGGCTTTTGGGGGCACCAAGGGAGCTATACATATACAAAGAACACACTTGTGAGGAGGTAATATATTAAGAACGATGCCAAGCTGATCATCACCGGGCAAGCAAATTCTGTGCTTGAATTAGAGGGGCGTGTTACTTTGCTCTGCAAGGGGCAACAGAAGCGTGAAGGGCCACCCAGACAGTTCGACTTCATTTGAGTAGTTAGCATTTCATGTGAAAGCCAACTCTCCTCGGTCGTGTCTGTCTGTCTGTCTCACAGGGGGAGGATATGCATACGGCTAGAAACACAACCACACGCATATCAGAGAGAAGCGGCTACCTTATGCCATGGTAATAGCCCTCAAATCTCAATGGCTTCAAACAACAAACACCAAAGGCTCTTCTTCACAAGGGGGTGTTCAGTGTAGAACAGCATCGGCTTCTGATCTCTGTTGTTCTCCGTAACCCAGGCTGAGGGGGACGCCAGCTCTGTACCTACACAGTTGCTGAGGCAAACCAAAGGGCAGTGGATCACGCGCTGTCTCTCGAAGCTTCTACCCGGAAGCGACAGGCATTCCTTCGGTTCACATTTCGCTGGGCAGGGCACATCGTACGTCTCCCCCTAACTCCAAAGGGTCAGGGAAATTTGATTCTACAATATGCCCAGGAGAACTAGAAGTCTTTGGTAACAGGGCGAGTGGTGATCAGAACTTGGACTGCACTGGTAAACACAGAGAGTTAATACCAACAGTACTGTCTAGTAATTGGGAAGTACGGTTTCTGTTTTGGGCTTTCCTATTCACAACTGGCTTGACAAAATCTCTGTGTTTTCCCACTTTAAATAGAAGTTAGGCTTTTTATTTTTTCATTACTATTACAGGTCATTATTTTTGCAAGTCAATGTCTCTCAAGTGTCTAAACGCTGGTCCATGGTAAGGCATTTATCAGGATCCAGAGAAATGAAAAATCAAATTAAAAGAGAAATGGGATGATTCCACCATTATTGTTAGATCTCATTTTATGTGCGTCAGACTTCATTTTATTTGGAACAGAGTGTTGGTGATAACCGCCATGTATTATTACCTTAAGCTTTTAATAATAGTTACAGTCAAATGGATACAGGGCTTTCTAGGTGCCAATCACTGGTCTAAATACATTATAAAATGAATCCATTTAATCCTTACAACAATCTTATCAAGTAGGTACTATTATTATCCCTATCTTATGGATGAAGCTGAGGTAAATTAAATCATTTCTCAAGGTCATACTGCTACTAAAGAGTGGGATCTGAATTCAAATCCAGGCAATGTAGCTCCAGAATCTTCTCTCATCGCGCTATCACACTTGGAAAAATAAAGTTCAGAAACAACTACTGTTAACCCAAACCTGGGTTTTAATTTTTTTAATTCAAATCTCTTTTACAGTCTACTCTAAAACATTAAGAAAAATACTGAGAAATCAGTGTGTCCCAAAGAATCACTAGGTTATAGTACTTATTAAGATACAATTGCAGATCCTGAGAAATCATACACTCACATTTTGAAGCTTCTTCCACATTATGGAAATCAATTTTACCCCATATTTCCATAATATTCTGTTTATTGAAACAGTAAGAGAAACAAGCAGAACTAAATATAATTTTCCACTTATCTGGGAGGATAAAATTCCAATGAAGTCAGGAAATGTTTGGACCAATTCTCCTTAAAATTATACTGAAATTATCTGCGCTTTTCCTTTTCCTGTATCATAGCGTTTAATTCTACTTCTTGATAGGATGGTGTATATCTTTCCTAATAGCTTCTTGGACAGAAAAATTGTTTCATATTGTTGGCTGTGGCTTTACATAAACCTTACACAATGCTCTACCCACCCTAGGCACTTAATTCAAATTTGCTTGACTAAATGAGCAACTACATTTCCGTTTCTTTTGATGTGACTCTAGCACATATCAGGGAGAACAGAAGGGGATAAAGGCAGTCTTCTTTGCAAGTAAAATGGTTTCACTCTTAGGGATGGTGGTGAATAACCCAATGGGGCACCTACATTGCCTAGATTTCAAGGAACTAGACCAGGTTCCTACCTGTCAAGTACCACCCCTGGAGCATGCATATTAGGCAAGGAACTCTACAGAGTTGGCAGAAGACGGCACAGGGCCCACATGGAGCATGAAATGGAGACCAGGATGAATAGATAAAGCCAGGACTTAGCACCTGAACGCACCAGTAGTGATCCAGCCAGCAGAAAGAGCATCTGCAGAGGAGGGCTGGAAGAATAGCACTTCTTAGTACATACAACTGCTGTCAGTTGAAGGTGGGACTTCTATTCCGCGTTCTATCTGAGGCCAGAAATACAGCTGACGCTTGAACGAGGTGAGAGTTAGGAGGGATGATCCATACACAGTTGAAAATACCTGATGAGGGGGCAATTGGCGGGCTCGGTCGGGAGAGCATATGACTCTTGATCTCAGAGTCGTGAGTTTGAGCCCCACATGGGGTATAGAGATTATTACTAAAACAAAAATAGACCTATAAGAAGATCCCTGTCTAACTTTTGACTCCCCCAAAATTTAACTATTAATATTAACTAGCTTACTGTGGACTGAAAGCCTTACCGATAACATAGTCAACTAACACATATTCTGTAAGCCAAAGAAAAGAAAATTTTATTAAGAAAGTCATAAGAAGGAGAAAATACAGGCACCATACTGTATTGCGTATAAGTGGACCCATGCAGTTCAAGCCCATGTTGTTCAAGAGGCAACTGTACCTTCATGTCAATGTCTTTCAGACAAACACCCACCAGGAACACATCTGTGGTTGAACAAGTTGGATTTATTACTCCTTGTGGTGAAAGAGTATATACATCATGGGGAATCATAGGCTATCTCAGTAAGACGGTGACAGAACTTATTACACAATTGGGGTTTCCCCTGAGTTATTTGAGGGAGGGATGAAGAAGCAAGGATTCGCTTTTTTTTTTATCTTTGAAAGACTGAGAGAGACAGAGCACAAGCGTGGGCAGGGCAGAGAGAGAGAGAGGAGGGGAGAGAGGGAGAGAGAGAATCCCAAGCAAGCTCTGTGCTGTCACTGCAGACCCCGACGTGGGGCTCAATCCCACGAACCGTAAGATCATGACCTGAGCCAAAATCAAGAGTTGAAGGTGTAACCGACTGAACCACCCAGGTGCCCCAGCAGGAATTCACTTTAAATTGGATGTTGAAGACAGTGGGTGGAATTCTATGATTGGGTGTTTTGTGGGAGGCACAGTAACCCTGATTCTCTGTGTTTAGACAAAATTATGAAATGACGTTGTTTTC